CTAAAAACAATTAGATAAAGGCTATGGGTATATACAGATACTAAATAAAAAATCTGACTTAGATGTTCTTAAATTAATGATCAGTAAATTAGAGAAGTTGTTTTTCATAACCTTAGTTTCCCTGATAAGTGATGTTTTTGTTGGCTATAAACAGATAGTGTATGGAAGAAGTTAATGGAGAATTAATTGCACCTAACAACTAAAATTAACAAGACTTAACAGACAAAGGTTAAGAAATATGTGAAGGTTAACTTGCTTCTCAGAGAAAAGAATAGATTTATGTATGAACAAATGTTTAACTAAAAGGTTTCAAGGCGCCTGAATGACTCCTATGCCTTGAGATAATGTTTTTGCTGTAACTTCTCATCCCTGTTGTAAATTTAAGAATTGTAAACCATAAGGAATGTGCCCCAAGATAGATTGTATTTTGATGTCATTGATTACTATGAAAGCAATGTTTTTTGTAATGGTATATAAGGGGGTTGTAAGATAGAACGAAGAGAAGTAGAAGAAGGAGGTGAAGAAGGGGTGTAGGAGAAGGGAAGAAGAAGGAAGAAGGGAAGATGGGAAGTAGAAGAATGGGTGGAAGAAGAATTAGAGGCAAGAAGTAGAGGTAAGAGTAGAGGAAAATAGAACGAGACAAGAATGGAGGGAGGGGGAAACTAGTAATGGAAGCAGGAGGGGAGCAGGAGAGGAGAGAATAGAAGCAGGAGCAGGGGAGGGGAGAAAGGAAACAGAAGAGATGAGCAAGAGAGCATGACAGTAAAGAATGAGAGAAGTAAAGTATTAGAGTAGCCATAGAAATAATAATAATAAAGCATGCAATGAGAAGATTTTGAATTTATCATGACCCATGACTCCGAATCGGGCTGCGAACCTTAAGGTCAGCAGTTCGAAACTACCAGCCGCTCCGCGGGAGAAAGATGAGGGTTTCTACTCCCGTAAAGACTTACACCCTCAGAAACCCTGTACAGGGTCTCTATGGGTCGGAACCGACTGGATGGCACTTAACTTAACAACAACAATGACTCCGTGTATTCAGCCAACGCCGCACCAGCTTTCGGAAAAACCCTGGAATAAGTTTGCTGGGGCTGGCTCCCGGCATTTTCCTAAGGCCAAAGGTGGGTGAAATGGAAATAGGAACCACAGGGAGAAAGCAGGATAATTGTTGTTACATAGAGGAGATGGCAAATATTGAGATGAAACACAGTGTATGACTTGTTGAATGTAAAGCTGATGATCTGGCAGGTAAACTTTTACTCAATTCACAATAAAAAGTTAAAAATAAATAAAGATCTAATTTCATGTCACTCTAATCTAATAAAATTTCTCAATAAAGAGTTGATCATATTGAATATTATTATAAGATAATGGGTTTATTTCATATAAACCACTGAATTTTACAAATGTATTATTATAAAGTATAAGCCCCAAAGTAATTGGATTACATACTTTTATCACTAACATAAACAAAATAAGAGCAAAATGATCTAGAGATTTGCAGTGAGAAATAGTTGTAATGGTAGCTTTAGCTGAATCACTTTTAAATAACCAAGACAGGGCTAGAGAAAGCAATGTCAATTAAAGGGCTGGCAGAGACTCAGGATCACTTAGTTATTACTACTACTCCTTCTTCTGGAAAAGTTCCAGGAATACAAAACCAAAACAACAACAAAAAACGACCCTAATTTGTTTAATCTTTCCTCACTGAGTCTTTCAGGTGACTCTAGAATTTCTCCATGTTATACAATCTTGGAGGTTATGAAGGTCCTCCTAATAGTTAATGTAAAGATTTTAGCTTTTACAAAATCCTCTAAGAACAGCAGCTTTCCTTTGTCAAGGCTAATTAGGTCGAATCCCATTTATTTCTAGACATGGATCCTCAAGGAAGAATAGAAACATTTAGAAATATAATTGTTGGTTTTTATAAGAAGGTTTGTAGCTAGGTTCATTTTTACATACCTGAAAAATTCAAAGTTGAGACAAGCTTTTGGCAAGAAAAACTTATCATCTTGTTTGAACCAGAGTTTGCTCATAGCTGTGTCCTATGATGGAGAAACAATCTGGTTAGGAAAATATGGACACAATCGGCAACAGTGGTAATCAAATCACTCTTCATCAATAAAGGGCAGAGGTAATGGCTGAGAGTTTTGTTCTAGAAAGACTGCCATCTCATGGCCTTGAAACATACTCAAAAGGTCACCAAGTGGAAAGCTGGAAAGAAAACTGCTGATGCCAGTGTTGTTGTTAAGTGCTGTCTAGCTGGTTCTGAATCACAGAGACCCTGTATAGGGGGTTTCTGAGGTGAACTACTGAAGTTGCAGTTCAAACCAAGCTTGCTGTCTAGTGCATTATTCTGCAGTGTCACACCAGGACTCTACTGATGCCTTTCTATCTCCGCTGGTGAAGGGAGATGTAGGATCACTGGAGGAAGAGACAGATCAAAGAAGCCAACACCAACTCTCCTGTCCACCATCTTTCTGGGCACTGGAAGACAGGTGCAGAGACCTTAGGGTGGTGTGGCAGTCATTCTCCAAGACGGCCCTCTACAATCCATGCCTCTTAAGATTCACACCTTGTAGTCCCTGCCATCCTGGACTAAGACTGGTCTGTCTGACCAACAGAAACGACAGAGTGATTGTCTAAGGTCAGATGTGGGGATATAAGGATGCAATGGTTGATAGAACTAAGGTGAAAGTTCGGATGAGAACTGGAAGATTTAAACAGATTTTGTATGAGGTAGTTGCATCTCCTTTACTTGAATGCATTATTTGTTGTTGTTGTTATGTGCCGTGGAGTTGATTCCGACTCCTAGTGACCCTATACAGGGTTTCCGAGGCTGCAAATCTTTACGGGAGCGGAAAGCCTCATCTTTCTTCGGCGGAACCACTGGTAGTTTTGACTGATGACCCTGAGGTTAGCAGCCCGATTCGTAATCACTACGCTACCAGAGCTCCCTTATACTAAAGGTTAGAGCTAAGAAATTCTTTCTCTAACAGTTCTGTGTGGCCTATGAAAAAGGCAGATAGCTCATGGAGGTTGACAGTAGACTGTTGAGGCCTAAATAAAGTAGTGCAATCTGCGGCGTCAGCTGTTCCAGACATGGTATGCACAGAGCAGATAATACAGCAGGTTAAGGAGACTGGTACTCAAGTGATTTATCTTGCAAATGCCTTTTTTTCTATTCCAATTTCAGAAAAGAGCCAGCCACAGTTTATTTCACATGGGAAGGATCCCAATACATATTCAGTATGTTGCCTATGGGTTATTTGAACTCACCATGTGGAGATCATGTCTGACTTCCTCTGGCTTCACAAGGGAGAAAGAATCAAACTTAAATCAGTGCAAGGCCAATTCCTCTGAACGGAGGTCAGACATGCTTCCACCCTAGTCTTCTTTACCTGTTCTGACACCAACCATCCCTCCCACAGCACTCCCTGCTTCACATCTGTGTTTGATAATCCATTGCAATGGTCACATGGAACACATAACAATACTCATGATATATCAGGGAAGTAAACGGTACAATTCAGGACCAAATCCAACTCAGGACATCCTCTTGTCTGCCATACTGCAGGCACACATCACTCTTGTCTTCAGCCTCTCAGCCATGTGGCTCCTTGGCCTCTGCCCTGTTCTGATACAAAGTTCTTTTAGCCAGTGTGTGAATGCCTAAAGGGCACATTTTGCAAGCCAACCTCCTATCCATATGCACTAATCTTTATTCAGTCCATAGGCCTAGAGCTGGAAGCCGTTCTGTCTCTCCAGGCCACTGCCTCTGCTGTTGTCTTGGCCATTGTGCCACACCTCACTCATGCTCTTGAGGGTCCTGGGATCTTCCATCTCTGCATCTGAGATGGCTCCTTTTAAGCCTTATTGGAGGGCAAAACTAACCAATCCCAGCTTTAGACTCCGGTGTACCTTATTTGCATGGTCCCACCCAATCACTTGGTGGGAATTAGGAAGACTTTGGAAGAAAAGCCCTATCAAGTAAATTCAAGTTACCACACTGTCACAGTATGATTAGAAGAGTCTTGGACTTGGTGCAGATCTCAAGTGCAGTGATACACTGCTGTTGTTACATATTGTTGAATCAGTTCCAACTCACAGAGATCTAGTGCACACTGGAACAAAACACTGTCTGGTCCCATGCCATGCTCACAATCATTAAGTTTGAGCCCATTGCTGCTCCCACTGTGCTAATCTATTCCTCTTTTTCGCTACCCTCCACTTTACCAAGCATGATGTCCTTCTCCAGTGACTGGTCCCACCTGATAATATGGCTGAAGTATGAGAGATGGAGTCTTGCTATCCTGGTTTCTAAGGAGTATTCTGGCTGCACTTCCTCCAACACAGATTTGTTTGTTTTTTTGGCAGTCCATAGTGCTTTAATATTCTTCAGTATCGTAATTCAAAAACTGCATCAATTCTTCTATGATCTTCCTTATTCATTATCCAACTTCTTTTACATGCATATGAGGCTATTAGAAATACCTCATATGGGTCAGGCATACCTTAATCCTCAAACTAACAGTTTTGCTCCTGAACACTTTGATATTATGTTGATATCAAATACAGAAGAACAGGCTAGAGCAAATTTGAAAACAGTGGTGGCACACATGACCAACAATGGTTGGATAATAAATTCCAAAGCCCTGCCCAACAATGAAATCTGGGGAATAACTTGGGTTGGAGCCACACTTGACATTCCACAGACAAATAAGAATAAGATGCTGCTTTTACTCACCACCAAAACTAAGCAAGAGGCCCAAGGTTTGGTTGGTCTACCTGGATTCTGGAGGACGCATACTCTACATCTGGGAATACTGCTGGCATCTATCTATGAACCGCTCGAGAGAAAACTTTGTTTGAATGGGGGCCTGAGAACTAACAGGCTGTTGGGAGTCATAGAAAGCAGTCTCCCTCTCCTGTCTTTATGTGCACATGACCTACATTCAGACATGATTTTGGAGGTGTCTACCACATGTGCTTATGCAGACAGGGACTTATGGTAAACACCTGAGAATGCAGCCCTCCCACGACCATTGGGATTCTAGACTAGAAAATTTCCAGATGCTGCAACATGACACACGCCATTTGAAAGGCATTTACTTGCCTCCTACTGGGCTTTGATAGAGTCTGCATCAGTGACAGAGGACACATATCATCATGAGACCTCAGCTACCCATAACGCTTTGGGTGATGTCAGAGAAACACTGGAATAAAGAAGGTGGTGCCCAAGATAGCTGAGTAATAAAATGGAAATGGTTCATAGGAACAAGCTACAGGGGGTAACGCAGGGAGGCACCCACTGCATTCATGAACAAGTAGCCACTCTTCCCATAGGTCCGACCCTAGAACCACCTGAAAAGCTGCCCGAGCCCCTTGCCACATGGACAGTGCCCTATGAACATTTTTCTGATGACCAGAAAAAGGCTGCTGGGTTCACAGGCACATGGACAACATCTGAGGTGGAAAGCTGCTGCATTAATATAAGTAAATGGAAAGACCTTGACTGAAGAAGGTAGGTACAGGTGAGTTCAATCGGATGAACTGCACACTGTCTTCCTGGCTGTGATGGAAGAACTAGTTGGAAATGGTGAGTCCATCTATTTGTATTTTTACTGATTCACCGGGCAGTGGCCAATGGCCAGATTATAAGGTCAGGCAAATGGGCAATGGAAAACTAGACTGTTAAAGGGACATCCGTGTGGGGCAATAGCCTATGGAAAGCACTCTGGAAATGTAAAGGGCACATCAGAGTAGGAAATGTGGATGTCCATCAGAAGAACCCCTTTTCCTGGACAAGAAGGTGGTTGGAATCAGCAAGTGGACATGTTGAATGCTCCTTTAAGGTGGCCAACTGGGTCCATGAAATGAATAGATATGGGAATGCTGAAGTATTGCAGAGATGGGCTGGATCTAGACATATCCCTCTTGTACCTTCTGAGACAGAAAATGCCAATAAGAACTGCTCTGACTGCTAGCAAGAAAGACGGAGGTTACAGAGGGCTATGGGGCCAGCTCCCCAGAGGGTAGGCCCTGCTTACAGTTGGCAAGTGGATAGAGGACCAATGGTAGCAGTGGCACCAGGTGGCTACAAATGGATCCTCACAAGCATAGACACTTACTCTGGACTGGGTTTTACATATTCTATAATGGATACAGATGCCAAAAACACCACTAAGGGATTAGAACAAAAGATACTATATCAATTTAGGCCACCAAGTTATATTTCCTCAAACCAAGGAACACATTTTCTAGTCCAGAGAGTACAACAATGGGCCAAGAAACATATTAAATGGACCTACCATGTTGCACAGGAGTGCTGGTGTGGCGCTGTGGGTTAATGCGCCAGACTGCAAAGCCATGTAAACTGCAAGGTCAGAGGTTCAAGCTCACCAGCTGCTCCTTGGAAACCCTATATAGGGTCACTATGGGTTGGAACTGACTTGATGGCACTTAATAACAATAACAACCATGTTGCATACCACCTTCAGAGTAATGGTTTGATAAAGAACTGGAACGGGCAACTGAAACGTGTTCTCTAAAACACGGGGAGATAAAGGCATGAAAGGCTGGCTCACATGCCTTCATGAGTGTGTGCTCATGCTCACCAATGTAGGCCAAAGGTCACCACTGGATAGATTTCTACGTTTCTCGGGGGGATATGAGGGAGGGGATTGGGGAAGGATGCAGGTGCTACTGTACAGTTCTTCTCCACGTCACCTGACATTGCTTTTTTCCAGCAGAATGCTATAGTCACAGAACTGAGAGGACTAGAAGCAGGGGTAATCCCTCAGCAAGAGACTATAACTACACCCCAAATCTTTATGCCAGAATTTCCATGGGCCTGATGGGATAGACTGTATCTTCCCCACATCTGGTAAAACTGAGATTGACAGTGAATAGTACCATACTGCCGAGTGACCGAGAGAGTCCACTAGTCTTGTGTTTATGTAACCCTGTGAAATATGAAGGGGAACGGACTAAGGGGGAAGCACTTGCTAGACTGGTCTTGCTACCAGCAATCTGGACTGGCACAGTAGCTGAAGCTGAGGTCTCTTCTCATGGAGGAAAAGTTTTGGTAAAAGTAAATGACAATGTTACTCGGTATTTACCGACAAGAAATACGAGCCATAACACGAGTAGATATATGCACACAGCACTATTTACAACAGCAAAAAGAGGGAGATAGCCTAAGTACCCATCAACTGAAGAATGGATGAACAAACTGTGGTACATACACACAATGGAATATTATGCTACCCTGAAGAATAACAAGCCACCACATAACATGGATGGACCTTGAGGACATTATGTTGAGTGAAATTAGTCAGTCACAAAAGAAGAAATACTGCATAGGACCACTATTGTAGAAGACTAAGAAAAAGAACCCATACTAAAGGGGGGTGGATTTTTTTGCTGGTTAATGGGACATGAGGGGAGAAAAGGGAAGGTGGAGCACAGGGTAGGGAACACAGGATAGTTTGGGTGCTAGGGAGGGGGGCAATACACAAGAAGGGGAAGGGTAATGGAAGAAAAAAGCAGGTGGGAAAACAATTAGGCAGGTTTGCATGGGCTAAGTGGGACAGAGGTTAAATAATGATGTATACACAACCTTGGAACAACAAGGCTCTGGGATACAGGGATTGAGACATGGTTGGAATGGGCAAAAGGGGGGAAATAATGTTAAGATGCTCGGCTGTCTTTTGAATCTTGGTTTCTCTGGCATACAATTATAAAATATACACTTTAAAAGAAGAGTCAGAAAAATCACCATAGAAAGCTTGTAAGTCCTTCTTCTGCCTATAACTGATCGGAATACCTAAATTGGGGATACAACGTGCCCAGTGAAGGAGGCTTCCTGTGGAGTCTCTGCATTACATAAGACCATAGGTGGAATCCTGAACCCCATCCAGAATTTTCTGTGGGAAATTTCCACTTGAAAGGACAAGCAGACCAGCCTGAAGCTGCTGGAAGAATGGAAGATACTTCTTGAAAGAAAGACCAATAGGAAAAATACAAAACAATAAAGGCAGTCCGACTGATTACTACAAGAACAAGCAAGTTACTTACCCAGGAGACATCAAGTCAAATGGTCGGGTCCCCTCAGGGCAAACCCCCTTCCAAGACTAAGACTTAATGGGAATACATGCTCTGATTGGTGAGTATGTTTGTCACCGATAAGGGGAAGTGAGGGAAAAACAGCAATGAAGCAACGAGCTAAGCCCTACAACATTCAATAGACTCCTGTGAACCAGGGTAGAGACCTGATTGGCCAGCAGTGTGGCAAGACCTGGGGACTCTTGGGCCCAGAGTTAGTGACTTAGCCACAGAGGACTAGAGTGGAGAGTAAACTGTCCAGCTGATAAGAAGAGAGAGCATATGCATAACACCCACACTTGCAGATAATACCCACCTGACCTGGCTTCAATGACTGTATGATCAGAGCTCAACTAGAAGAAAGAAGAGGAAAAAAAGAGTAATCTGATACAATTTGATGAAGTTGATCTACACCTATGGATGCAGTAGCTCAAAAGAGGGAACAAATCTTTACAGCAAGGATCATTCCTACACCGTCTATACACAGAGTAGATAGGGATGGGCAACTTGGACATTGGCTACCCAAAATGGGGGGTGGGGGGCTACAAAGGCAAGAAGTGACTGGCTTACAAGCTTTCAAGAGGGAACCTAGGTACAGAGGGCATGGAGGAAGGTAGAATCTCCACTGAATAGTATCCAATCTGTCTGGGCAGGGCTGATGAAAGGAGATGCGGATAGGTCTCTTGTGATACAATAGTGAGTAATTGTTATCAGGACTGATTGTGAGGGTTGGAAATGTAAAGGTAGACATTTTGCAGGAAAAGGAGGGGAAGGATTAACTTTGCAGTCTAGGAGAGGAGGTCCCTGGGACCATCAAGTGAGTAGAGCGGAGAGCGGGACCCTACCCAGAGAAACAGTGAGACCAGAGATATAGGAAGAGATGATGATGTGGAGAGATGGAGTGGCTGGGGACACTAGAGCCAGAGAGGGAGAGGGGCTGTGTGCTGACAACTGGGGGGCAGGCTTGTAGTGTATACCCTCTGGTTAGTTGATGATGCATGGAGGGGATTGTAACCATGGCAATGAAACAATATACAATAGGATGAATGTAAAGCTAATGTTCTTCCATGTAAACTTATCACATAATTCACAATAAAATATTTTTTAAAAAAGTAAATGACAAATGGAAGGAAGGAGAAATAATAGCTGAAGAATAAGGTATGAATAAATGGATCATGCAGTGGGGTAAATCTAACATTGTACCTTGAGAGAGTTTCAGAGCAAGGGAATAATCTTTTCTCAGTAAAAATTTTTCAGGACCAAGAAGGGTCAAGATGATACAAAATTTTGGATGACTTGGGATAGGTCAGATGGACGCAAACAGCAGACTTGAATGGCTGGTACCTGAGTAATCTCACCCTTAGAACTCCAGCATAGTGAAGGACTAATTGTTAATGACTGGTTTGGGAACCATTAACGATTGGGAGGGGCAGTTTAATCCTTTAAGTATGAAAGGGTAAATTCCTAGAGGAGCCAGGGGTGGCCTGCAGAGCAGCTATTTATTATGGCCCTTCTAGCCAAATTTCTCTATTTTATGATATATTGTAAATCCCGTTTTGAAATGAGTTGCTAAGGAGTAAAGATTACAGTGGAACTAAAGATTAAGAATGCCCCTACCTTACTAGGGAGTGTGACTCAAGTTACCACCTTTAGTTTCCCTTGGGAACATGGCCTGACTTCAATTTATGAGACTGCTTTGGGAACGCTTACTCTCTTGCCCTGGACCTTGCATCTGCTTAATTATTATGTCTGACCTCCAGTTCATGCGACTTTCAGCTCATCACCTGACGTGATTCACTAACTCCTGCAGCCTAATGAACCAACGGCCTGTTGTGTGACCTGCTGATTTGGCTCCTGAGCCTCTGAGGGTAAAGAGCCCTGCAGACCGATCTCTGAACTGCTCATTTGGTGCTTGCCAGACTTCACAGTTGCACGAGGCATTTCTTGTGACAACTGTTGAGTTTTGTGACACATTGTAGCTTGTAGCAGAATGCTGGGATCTGAGGTAAGGGAGGAGTGCTGACTGATATCAAGGACGATGGTGAGGCATAACATGTTGGAAAAGTCGAACAGTTGGGATATCTTTAACCTTCAACTCAAAGGGGCTGGCCCCTCATATTGTCCTTTATAAAAGAAATTCTTCACGCAGACAGTAAGAAACTTCTGAGATTAGATCATGAAAGGCAACATGGCTTCTATCTTGGTCACTTACTTTCTTAAGCAACTCTACGGAGAGGCATACATGGTGAAGAACTGAGGCCTGACAACAACCATGCAATTGAGCTTGGAAGAGAATTCTTCAGTCCTAGCGGAACCTTCAGATGATTAAGGGTCCAGCAAACAGTTTAACTATAACCTCATGAGAAAGCCTGGGCCAGGCCAACTAGGCCACTTCTGGATAACTGAGCCTCAAAAATGGTGTGAGATGATAAATGCTTGTGGTCTAAAGGAGGTAAGTTTAGGAATAATTTGTTACACAGTAATGAGTAACACAAATAAGGATGAACTAATAAGCCACTACCTTGACTCTCCACTCCACTTATACTATACGAAAAATGCTCATTTGAATCTATTTTGGAAGTAACAAGAAATATATGAAGGGGCTTCAAAAACTTTGCAGAAAATTTTCATTATCTTTAAATTCCATTTTTCCATGAACTTTCTGAAACTCCTTTGTGTAACTGGTTTAATTTTTTCCTTAATTTATTCTGAAAAGGTCTTCAAATAAAATAAAATAGAAGAAGTAAACAAGTTTTCACTTATAGCTCATTAAAATGTCATTTTTAAAGAAAAATGGTTGATTCCTTAATAATCTAGCTGCTTGAGATAATTAAATTAAATCTCATGCTCCTAAAAACTGTTATTTGTCTCGCTACGTTAATCTAAATGTTAGGTCATTTGAAGAAAAGAAAAATAAAGATGTGTCTATGATGGCAAGGGAGGATTTGCAAGAGTTTAGAAGGATGTGGCATAATCATCATATCCATTTTTCTCCAAAATTAACTAAGGTATGAAACAATAACATGAAAAGAACATTCTCAATAGGAAACAAATAAACAAACAAAAAAACCTTCTCCCTCACCTTTCCCACCAGTTCATAACTCCATTCACTAAATCTAGCCACTCTGTCATAATAAGAGTTGTTCCAAAGGGCAGGACCAAGCAGCTACCCTTGGATATGCACTCTTCCAAGCTTTAGAGATTCTTTCTTAACACGAACTTTAATGGAACAGCATAAAACTACTTTTTTATTAGTTTTCAGTGGATATGGAAGAGACTCCAGTCTTTGAATAGAGTTGTGATTATAGCCCAGATTTATTTTTCTCTCCTGCAAACAAAACTATTTTCTAGGTTCTATTTTGGTAAGTTAGTAGTTTTGCTTGCTTGCATGCTTTGACATTTCTAGCCTTCTAATTGTCCTGGTGTGGTGCTGTAGGATAAGCACTCAATGACAAGGCTGGTTTGAACTGCAAGGTCAACTGCAAAGCCACCAGCCACTCCTCAGAAACCCTATACAGGATTGCTATGACTCAGGACTGACTTGACAGCACTTAACAACAGAAGTAGAACCTCGTGGTTATATTTTCTGCAACTTTCCTCTGCCACCTCTTGGGATCTGAGCCCTCAAAATCAAGAGTAACAAACATAAGAAACTATCTCCTAGTCCCTTCCACGTACTAGGTCTGTACCCCAAAATTCAAAATCAACAATTCTAATGTGTTACCTTAATAAGAGCCGGGTATTGTGTTGCTTCTTTTTCTAGTGACAAAATTTCAAAATTCATAGGAATAAATTCATTCTTTGTTGGAAGTTTAAATTTCCCATTCAGCTCAGCATTTTGCCATTTCTGGACAATAATGAAAAATACACATACATGAGCAATTAGTCTGATTCAAGAGTTTAGAACAGTCAATTTGCTTAATTTCAAGGTAAAAATTAAGGGGATAAATGTCAGGCAGCATTCTTTTCTGTGATACACAATGAAGTTGTTACCAAGATCTATTGATGAGTTTTAATGAAACTTATGTTGGAGTTTCTGGTACTGATGAGGGTTTTACACTAACTGATCTCCAAAATTACCATAGAAGATTAAGGAATAATTTGGGACCGTGATGCATAGAGAGGCTGAAGTCCATATGAAGATCCTGTTTCCTTTAACTTTTTTGAAGAACGGAGAACAATCTGTACATTTATATGAGTCAAACTAAATTACTCTCATTTATGGCCTGAAAGTCAGGTTAAAGAAGATTCATTCACTTCAGTGCTCATTCTTAAGGCCTGGCCCACACCTCTTCCAGATCACCAGTAAATTATGTACAAGGCTTAGAAGAAAGATGAGAAAGGCTGGATTGTGGGATAGGGTTGACACAACCTGCAGACTGGACCTCTTCCAAGGGTTATTTCCAAAAGATAAGTGGGACAGACTACAGGCCACTGATCATTGTTGAATCCTCATTTATAAGATTTTTCATTATTTATACATATATATTTCAACATTATATATATATATATCAACTGCCAATAATTCTGGGTTCAATAACTGAGTCTCCAGCTGATGTAGCACAATCTTGCAAACTGCAGTACTATTTTTGTCCCTTGCATTTGTGTCTTTTGGTGCTGCGATGGAGGATAACGTTGGCCAAATTACAAGTAGCAGCTTAGGTCTCCAGGATAGCTAAGTAGTACGAAATGGGAAACACTTTGCAAGAAATTTCACTGATGAGCTCCTAAATAAATCTGTTTTTAAAAATTGCCATTCAGGACACGTTTGCCGATCCATGATCAATTTTGAGAAAATTGATCTTGTCTTAAGAATACATTGTACAAGCACTAATTCATGGAAGGTCAGTCTTTCCCACAGTTTAGAAAGATGACTACTCTCATACACTAAGAAATACAGTAAGTACCAGTGATGATTTTCTTTCTTACACTGTTTTTAATTTCTGTACTGTTATTACACAGGTACATTTAAGAAATGCCCATTACTGGAGTCTAACTAGAATTGAGACACAGCAAGGTTTTCTGGTCTATGGCCATGAATAAAGGACTCAATTTAAAGCTACACAGCCATTTAGAACAAAAACAAAAGACATATTTACACATGTATAAGAAGATTGCTAGAGTGCCATTTCATCATACAAAAACCTAAGCCCCGTCTTTTCACCTCTTACTCACTCCTCTCAGGATGTCATAGACATCTTGAGCAATCACTGTCCACATGCTGGGCCTTCGGTTCTAGAGGGAGGACCTAGAAGGTCATGAGCTTGTACATCCCTTACATACCAGGTTTATTTGCAGATGAGTTAACCTTACCTTAATGACTTTGTCTGGTATTGCTTCCTGTTTATACTGGGTTCCATACCACTCTTCTGTGCGATCAGTTTTTCCTTCAAAAGATTTGGAAATGACTGCAACCCTAGAGACAGACAAAACCAAAAAACTTGTAAACTCATGTTGCACATATACATTTATAGCACCTGACTCATGGAAATGCAAATAATACCCAAGAATATGTTGAGCCTCTAAGACCCAACAAATCCTGTAAAGCTTAATGAAACATGCAATGTATGCTCAGAAGCTTCTGATCACTGTCCAAGTTACCCACTGGTTATACGGCCTATTACTTCTGTTGTAAAAAGCTGTTTGTGAAAAATGGAATAAGGTCAAATGAAAACCAGTGCTTAATAAAAAAGCAAAAGCACTCTTCCTGGGAACAGCACAGGGCCTGGGTTAACAGGAATAGCTAAGAAAACCCATTGGATTAGCCAAAGATCAAAAAACCCACAAGCATACCAAAGAAACTTTATTACTTGATAAGTTTGTGCTTTTTTTTTTAACATATCAATCAATAAAGTCAGTAATGATGAAATTAAAGATTTCTGGTTTCTTCAGTCTGAAACTGATCAAACATGCAATTAGGATGCATTGATAATTACTGGTGATTAGAAAGAGAAAGTTGGAAACAAAGAGAAGGATTTATAGTTGGAAACTATGGCCTTGGTGATAGAAATGATGCTGGAGATCCCATGATAGAATTTTATCTATCTCATGACAGATACGACCAATGACTTATCCATTGCTAATATCTTTTTGCAACAACATAAAAGGCAACTATACACCTGTACTGCATCAGATGAAACATTCAGGAATGAAACTGACTATACACTCAGCATTTCTCAAGCTGACGGAACTGAAGAAAAAAATTCAAGCTTCGATTTGCAATGTTGAAGGATGTCATGGGAAACATATCGAATGATGCAAAAAGGATCAAAAGAAGATGGAAGCAATACACAGAATCACTGTACCAAAAATAAATAGTGTATGTTCAACCATTTTAAGAGGTAGCATATGATCAAGAACGAATGGTACTGAAGAAGTCCAAGGTGCACTGGAGGCATTGGCAAAAAACAAGGCTCTAGGAGTTGATGAAATACAACTTGAAATCTTTCCAAAAAATGATGCAGCATTGGAGACACTCACTCATCTACACTAAAAATATAGAAGAGAGTTACCTGAACAATTGATTGGAAGAGATCCATATTTGTGTCCATTCCAAAGAAAGGTAACCCAATAAAATGTGGAAATCATTGAACAATATCATTAATATCCCATGCAAGTAAAATTTTGCTGAAGATAATTTTTTTAAAAAAGTTTTTGTGAATTATGTAGGTTTACATGGGAGAACATCAGTTTTACATTCAGCCTATCGGATTTCATTTCATTACAATGATTACAATACCCTCCATGCATCATCAAATAACCAAATACACCCCACAGCCCCCAACCCTGGCCATCAGCACACAGCCCCTCTCCCTCCCTGAGTCCAGTGTCCCCAGTCACTCCATCTGTCCATATCATCATCTCTGTCTCCGTCCCTGGCGTCACTGCCTCTCTAGGTAGGGTCACACTCTCCATTCTTCTCACTTGATGGTCCCAGGGACCTCTGCTCCTGGGCTGCAAAATCAATCACTCCCCTCCTTTTGTCAAAAAACATCTACCTCTATATTTCCGATCCTCACAGTCAGTCCTGATGGCAATTATTCACTATTGTACCACAAGAGTCTTATCCCCATTTTCTTTTACCAGCCCGGTCCCAAAAGATTGGAAATCATTCAGCAGAGGTTCTCCCTTCCCCTGCCCTGTCTGGAACTAGGCTCCCTCTTGAAAGTTTGTAAGCCAGTCCCTTCTTGCCTTTATAGGCCCCTCCCCCCAATTTTGGGTAGCCAATGTCTAAGTTGCCCATCCCTGTCAACGCTGTGTACTGAGGGGGTGGGAGTGATCCTCACTGTAAAGATTTGTTCCCTTTTTTGAGCTACTACATCCATACATGTAAGTAAAGTTCATCAAATTATAGTGGGTTACTCTTTTTTTTTTCCTTCCCTTGAAGATAATTTGTAAACTGCTTCCAACAGTATATTAATAGGGAACTACCAGAAACTCCAGATAAATTCAGAAGAGGACAGAGAACTACAGATATCACTGCTAATGGATCTTGGCTGAAAGCAGATAATACCAGAAAGATGTTTACTTGTGCCTTATTAACTATGTAGATCATGACAAACTATGGATACCATTGAGAAGAGTGGGTATTATGGGACACTTAATTGTGCTTATGAAGAACCTGTACATAGACTAAGAGGCAGTTGTTAGAACAAAACAAAGGAATACTGAATGCCTTAAAACCAGGAAAGTTGTGCACCACCAGGGTTGTATCCTTTCACCATACTTATTCAATCTGTATACTGAACAAATAATGTGAGAAGCTGGATTATATGCAGAAGTAGAGTAGCATCAGGATTGGAGGAAGAAGACTCATTAACAACCTGTCATATGAGATGATACAACCTTGCTGTCTGAAAGAGAAGAGGACTTAAAGTACTTACTAATGAAGATCAAAGACTACAGCCTGCAGTATGGATTGGTTCTCAGTGTGAAGCAAACAAAAATACACCACTGACCAATAAATAACATCATGATAAATGGAGAAAAGACTGAACCTGTAAGGACTTCATTTTGCTTGAATCCATAAGTAACACTCATGGAAGCAGCAGTCAAGAAATCATATGATGTTTTGCATTCCAGAAATATGCTGTACAAAACCTCTTTAAGGTGTTAAAGAGCAAAGCTGACAGTTTGAGAACTGAGGAGTTCTAGTCATGGTATTTTCAACAGCTTTAATATTGTTGTTATTGTTAAGTACCACTGAGTTGGTTCCAACTCACAGAGACCCTGTATAGGGTTTCCAACTCTTTGTAAATCTTTGCAGGAACAGAAATTTCCTTCTCCTGCGAAGCAACTGGCGGGCTCAAACCATGGACCTGGTGGTTAGCAGTTCAGTGCTTATCATAAGGAGCCACTGTACTCCCTTCAATAGCCTCATATGCATATAGAAAGTTGGACAATGAATAAAGAAGACCATAGAAGAATGAATGAATCTGAATTATGGTTAAGAATGCTGAAAGTACCATGGACTGCCAGAAAAACAAACATATCTGTGTTGGAAGAAGTACAGCCAGAATGCTCCTTAGAAGTTAGGATGGTGGGACTTCATCTCTCATACTTTACTCGTTGTCAGGAGGGACCAGTCCCTGGAGAAGAGATCATGCTGGTAGAACAGAAAGTTGGTAAAAAGAAGAATGCCCCCGTCACAAGATGGACTGACCCAGTGGCAGGAGCAGTGGGCTCAGACATAATAATTGTGAGAATGGCACATGGCCAGGCAGTGTTTCGCCTACTGTACGCAGGGCCGCTCTGAGTCAGAACCTACTCGACAGCACCTAACAACAACAAAGCTATATGTTTTTTCCTGTCAGAGACTGGCATTAAATATATCTCTTACATATATATTGGTGTCCCTACTGCTACATGAAAAGAAATGCCTCTTTAATTTTTGGTTTATTAAATTTTTTCTTTGATGGTGCAGTATATGAAATAGCCACAAAAGTGAAGTCAGATTGGGAAAAATAGAAAGTAGAGTTGGAAACCCTATACAGGGCCGCTATGGGTCAGAACCAACTCAATGGCACTTCACAACAACAACAACAAAGTGAACAAAAGATTACAGGAAAAGAGAAACAAAAGAAGCTCTACCTGTGAAGCTCTAAACTGTTCCTGTGAATGATTGTCAAGGACATCTCTGTCCCTCCTGTCTTTTAATTATCAAAGTTAGAACCATAGCATGCCCACTACAGACTCAACACCAGGCCAGGACCAATTCTATTTGAATCTTGTAGAACGGGTACTTCAAGGACAATAGCTTACATGGCTAGGCATAAAGACAGTCCCTTTTACTAAGTTCATGCCTCCCTTAAGTCCTAATTCAAATAACTAGGCTTATAAGCACTGGATTCCTGGTGTAGCATTATAAGCTAAATGCAAGATTGGTGGTTCAAACCCACCAGCTGCTCCTTGGAAACTATACAGGGTTGCTATGAGTCAGAATTGACTCAACGGCACACAAACAACAAAGTGTATGGGTGGTGCTTGAAATGATATCATAATGAAGTAAATATGAAGTTACTGTTTTTGCTGTTAAGTGCTGTAGAGTAGGTTCCAACCCATAGCGACCCTGTGTAGGGTCTCCGAGGAGCAGCTGGTGGGCTTGAACTGCCAACCTTGTGATTTGCAGTCGAGTGCTGATTCTACAGTGCCATATTAAGAGTCCAAGTATGAAGTAGATGAAGAATATTCATCAAAGTGGCACATCTCAAATACGATACTAACAAAAGTATCTTTCAGATGAATACTTAGTGTGCCATTAAGAAATTAAAAGATTAAATATCAACAAAAAAGTGTATTTAAAAAAATAAAGGCAGGGAAGGGGGATAACAGTACAGAGCATATATGCATCAAAATCTATATCAAAGTCTATGAGGCAAAGTGTGCAGGCACATTGAAGAGTACTTGAATTATAAGAAAAGGAGGAATTAAAGTAAACTGTAGACAAGTGCAGAGCACTTGGCTGCAGACATTAGGAAAAATTGCATTGACAACAGCATTTTAGACTATTTGCTGGCAATTGAATTATGCTAAAAATTTGTTTTAATGAGTTTTCTCTTAAACACAGGGAGTCAATGTTAGTCTATATTTAATTGTTTCCACAACACTCTGGCTCCTGACATGGTCTTAACGTGAAACTTCTACCAGTGAATAAAGAAGCAATAGTTTAGCATGCACAGTGACTGCTGACTCTAAGTCAGCACATTCAGAAAAGCTCAGAAGAAATCAGCAGCTGGTGGAGCTGGATGGGACCCATTCTGACATAATAGGTCTCCTGTCTACAGACATTAAAAGACAATATGGTTCTGTAATCACTGAAATGAAACAACGGTGTAAAGCCAATGTTTTCCCCCATGTAAATGATCACACTCAGTTCACAACAGAAACTTTAAAAACAAAAAAAGACAATATGGTTCC